CATCTCTAATACCAAGTCTATGACTTCCCATGCCATTGTCTCTTGTGTGCCAACCCACAAACGTTGTGGTTCACCACTGAACCTCACCAAAGCAAGCAGTACCACAACATTTGTGGGTTGGCACACAAGAGACTAGGGCATAGCACGTCATAGACTTGGTATTAGGGATAGAAACAGGATAGACACGGCTAGGACCGGAGCTAGTTGGCTGAGGGTAGGTATGCTGTACCAGAGACGTGGTATATGTAGCAAAGGGGTGACCATGACACTCAGAGGCTTGCGCCTCGAATTAGTCACCCAGACGCAGGGGAGGGCGAATAACGCCTCGAGTAGGGCAGATGTGGTGACAGGAGTCCAGTGAAATCAAAGAACAAGGAGTAGAGCAGACTGATTTTATTGAGCAAGAGAGAGACTGGGATAAGACTAGGAAAGAGGACTGCATAATAATAAAGCAGACTCTAATCAACATTCCATGCAAAAGGATTAAGAGGGGGGGGTGAGAACGACAGTTGGAGTGTGAAGGTGTCATGTCGCTCAAAGGAGCACACCACACTATATTTAAATAAACACAGTAAAATTGTAAGTGAAGGCTAGCGGAAACGCGAATAACTCAGGGCAGAAGGGGGGATACCACAATTGTTTAGCACACGTTTGGTCAAAGGATCGGCTTCATTTGTCTCTTTGACGAGTTACTGTATGGTGCTAAGAATGGCGATACTCACTGACGATGCCGGCGAAACGTTTGGGAACTTTGGAAATGATTATGCAGACGTTGAACTCCGGACTAAGTGTGTTCCTCTAAGTCTTCATTCTGATATGACTATGTTGCGAAAACAACGTCAAACAACCTCTAAGAATATATAAAATTTAATTGAAGTATGATGTCTACTTATATTATTGTGGAAAAATTTAACAACTTAAACGAAATAGTGCGAATACATCTCATATATATTATTTACTAGTAGTCTTGGAAACCTAGTTATATACTTATATTCGTAATGATAAAGCTTTAAAGACAATCTGTGCTATTTAATTGTATTTTCGTGCGAAACGAGTTTCGGGTATAGTAATTGATATCTCTATGTACCTTCATTTAGTTTTTTTTCAAATCCAGCCCCTTACTTTGCTTGGATTCTTGGGGGCGGGAGTATGAACAATTTCAAAAAGTTTTTAAAAGCCTATAAGATATAGAAAAATTGCACCTGCTTAGCCTTTGGCTAGAGGGCATGTAGTGAAGCACCTTAGAAAGCTCCTCGAGTCGCGACTCATGCGCTTGCCGCATCGCCCTTAGTCTTTCGTTAGTCTAAAATGAAATTCAAGAGTAAATCTGTTAGACGAATGAACATTGCATATTCAAGGCGAATTAAAGTCAGTTGATATAATAATTCCAATTTGAACTTTTTCAGGATGTCGATCCCCAGTTAGTAAAATTGGTCTTATTCATAGGATATCCCTAGAGAAGAGATCCTACTTAAGCAACGAATATGTAGCTCTCCGGGAATTATTCAATTGTTGGTCAATAGTACAGAAATGGGCTATCAGAAGAAACTGGGTAAAATATAAAAGGTTTTGCGAAAAATCGACTAACCTTATTATTTGGTGAAGACATGAAGACCAAGATGGTATGGTCGCGGTCTCCCTTTGCTTTATAGAATTGGGTTGACCTCGTTTTCGCAACTTGGTCTTGTTGTCAGGGGGACTTAGTAGAACGCACCTAGTCCGAAGTCGTCTGCTATGCTGGGAATTATGACAACTACTATAGAAGATGACTTCGGACTAGGTGCATTCTACTAAGTCGCCCTGACAACAAGACCAAGTTGTGACAACGAAGTCAACTCACTTCTTATTATTTGTTGTTTCTAAGTAGGTTTTCGTGACCTTATTACACTAAAAGAAGGGTCATTCAATGGTAAATATTGTAAACGCTGGTTTAAAACAAAGAGTTAAGAGTAAAAAAGCATCTTATTTCAAACAAAAATCTAATTGAAATAATAAATCATGCAAAAAAAGAGGGTAAAATATCACTTTTTAGCGGATGGAGGTACCATCAGCGCTTATTTGAGGAAGATGCTTATACCCTTACATTATTTTATTCAATAGATGAAATATAAAATGATGATACATGAATTGACAAAGACCTCGTTTCACTTAGGATTTGCTACCTTATAAGCCTCACCTGTTTTCGATCTTTTTATTGGTTCTAATAAGCCCCAAACATGCTCAAAACTACGGTTCAACTTAAATGAGAAAAATTTCGAGCTACAAGACTACGAGTAAAGTTAAGGGCAAAATAAGGCGCTTCCCTCACTGTAGCCTGCTCAGCTGAAGCTTCCAGTGAGAATGGCCGTTTTATAAAGCTTACTAGAAGCCGCTTAAATATATTGATATAAAATAGAATATTTTAACTTATTCATCTTGCGCATCCGAATGACGTAACTATGAGCACCAAAAAATCTAGATGAACCCAAACAACCACTGCATCATTGTTTAAATGGTTTTTCAAAGCCTTGTTGGTCATTACTTCCATCTCAGTAGGGTTTAATAATTTAGCATTTTCGACTATCAATGAACACCATTTGTGTCTGATAATCTTAAAATTGTTTTGAAAGAACATCTCAATATAGCAGATATTTTGAAAAAAAATAGATGGAATGACGTCAGAAATTACCTTCTAGCACACTGTAAGCTTGGGGTGAATAATAGCATTATTCATCAATATGCAGACACTAGGATCACTAAAATTTAATATTCCATGCAACGCAAAATGCCATCTCGCTCCGTACTAGATTGCCGATTTCTCTCGCAAGTTCGTGCCGATTCATTCTTCGATACCCTCATGAGTTTCCGTGGAAATAATACTAAGATCTTGTATGTCCGAGCCCTTGACTCTCCCCATTATCTCTGCATCCCATTCTTGTAACGACTTCAGGATTACACCGAAGCGAGAAAACTAATCAACCCGTCTAAAGATGCAATGATAATCTACAGAAAGTAGTAATTATAGAACGTATTTCGCTTATTTTAATTTTCTGCTAACATCGACCTATTCATGTCAGTGCTAGCGTTTGTCAATGCAAAACCAGAGCAATGAGCATTTTTTATTAGCTCCGAAAACCATATCACCATGATTGCTTAATATCGGACAAGCGTCAGGCTTTATTGATGTGAAATCAGGGATCTATATAATGCAGTTATAATCAAAATCATAACCATTAGGACCGATTAGGAATTCTTGTTTTTAAACGAATCATCTTGAATTGTTTTAAGCTCAAAGTCGTCACTTGAATGAGTTCTATCCTCGAGAATGCCTTTAAAATTAGATAACAGTAAAAGGCTCTAACAATTTTCATCATGGTCTAAGGACAATATCTCGAGGACTGGATAGGAGTAATTTTGCGGGAAGATACTTGGGAAATCAGTCGTTGTCATTTGAGGCAATCAATCCGCGAATATTTGTATAGCGCATTTGCACATAGAATGAAATTCAGCTAAAAAATGATGTACATGAGAGTTATGCAAAATAAAACAGATGCGCTCCATTGCTAAGCCTACTCATGAAAGTAATAATTCTCGAATATAAAGTTAAACTTCATTTTCAACCGATTAATAAACTCTTCGAGCCAATTATATCTTTAATTATCACTCTTATCATGAGAAAATAGCTAAAAAAATAAATCGGCCTTTTATTTCCACTTCAAGCTTTTTTTCAACTAGGTAGACCAATATCAATAATCGTCCAGTAAAATGTCTTGTTTTAGCTAGTATGTTTGTGATTTCCTCATGCAAGACATGCTAGAATACTCTTTCTACAGTTGGGACTATTTTACTAGTATATGTTTGGATTGGCAACGAAAAGCTTTCTTCTTCAACCGGAAATAGCCTCAAGAGTTTTAAACAGATTAATTCTAGGGCAAAACTGCATTCTGCTCAAGATAGTTTGGAACTTTTCATAATTTTATATTTTTTGCCAAAGGGTTAACTATCAATTTCATTTAAAACGTGCAAACAAAACGATGCCCTCTCAAGAATTCTCTGTATTGCTCATAAAACCAAAATAATCTACCTTTTGGGAAAGTATTTTGATTTCATCTGCAGCTCGTTGTTTTTCCCGCTCCAGAGCCTCTTCGCTTCGTCGCATCTCTGAGCTGAGCAGGCGCTGCTGCTGATCAAGCAGCTCCTGGCGTTCTCTTTCACGAGCTGAAGTAAACTCTGTGAGCTGAAGACTACGCGCTTCCATCTCCAAGTGGAGGCGAGTCTGAATCTCGGCTAACTGTGATTCCAGTTGTGTGGATCTTTTTGCCTGCGAAACAAGGCGTGTCGTCAGCTCGTCCAGTTGTTGTCTCATCTGGGACTCGACCTGAAGAAGGAAGAATGAGACAGATTTTGAACCATTGTTGTTGTTATTATTAGTATTGTTAAATTATTTATTTATTCACTATTATTTATCATATATATATATACATATATATATATATATATGCATATATGAGATATTACTTAATATTAATAATTATAATATCCACTATTGGTATGTAGGTATAGCGTGCATATAATATGCGCACAATTCGTTGATACGGCTGCTTGAGTAAAAATGATTTATGAGTCCGCCTTATTAAAACCTTTAAATTTGGCCAAATCTAACTTGGACAATTTTTCATGCTTGGCACACATATCGATTTCACATTGTTTCCTAACTTCAACTGATTCGTGCTAAGCTTTCGCTTTATATGCGACAGAAATTGCATTAATATAAAAATTCTCCTATAAACCTCATCCTAAGTAAAGAGCAACGGTCGGATTCAATACTAATAATAAAAAAAGCTATAATTTCGGTATCATGTCATTGGTCTCCAACATGACGTTAATTTTGCCAAAGTGAAATGAAAGCTACGAAAACTTTGTACATCTGTTGTCAAT